GGGAGACAGGCGACTAGCAGGCAGATTCTAAATTCTCTATAGAAACAACATTATTTCCTTACATTTCTTGAATTCTTGACATTTTAGTTGATCAGCCTATACTCGCAATTGCGTACGTTTTTTTTTCGAATTTTTAAAAACTAATTTCAGATTGTCGATTTTCATGAACAGCCCTGTCCCCCACATACAAAATTTAGGTCGAGATCAGAATTTTTTCGCACCACCGTGGTGGGGGATGGAATTTTAGAATCACAGTAATTAAATGGACATACCAACAAATCTATTCAAAGACGTGCCACCAGTTTTTGTAGCTCTTCTGGTTGCCGAGAAAAAAATTACACAAAAAACGCGAATTTCACCACTTTTTAGAGGGAAGCTCCCAAATGCAACACGTTTGACCCTAATTTATAAATAAATAATATTGATTTTGATACCATCGCCAAATTTTTAGTGACTTCATGATGTTTCAAGAAATAGGGTTGAAAACATTGGCCGTTAACTTTGAAATACCATGCAGTGCATCATCAACATCGAGAGCACAAGGAACCATTTTATGACCACTGCTAATTTATAGTTGAACTGAATTGGAACCAAGAACTTGAGAAAAAATGATATAAAATCAAAAAGGGCATATTTAAAAACCTCTTCAAAGTTGTGGAGAATAAAATTAAAGAAGAAATGCACCACTTTTTAGGGTATGTAACACGCTGGGCAATCATCTACTACCGCACCTTTTTTTGACGCACTTAAATGTTACACCCTGTATAGTCCATATTATGCAAATTAGATAATGTATAACTCTCGCTAGGAAAGATTGCCGGTCACAGAACACTTGATCCCGATCTACAATCTCTGTTTTTCGAAAGGTGCTAGAGACTTCCGGGATAGTATCGTGTCAATGTTGAACGAAAAGACTTTTTGTTCAACATTAGCACGATCCTATTCCAGAAGTCGCTCGCATCTTAATAAAAACAAAGATTGTAAATCGACACAAGGTGTGCTGTCACCGGCAATCTTTCCTGGCGAGAGTTATACGTGTTGTTAATCATAATGGAATCATTCTCATAACTCATTTCAAAAGTGGTCACGTAATGACTAAGTATTAACCACGAATGTAGTATCATCGATTATTATCAAACCGCAGGCAATAATGACTGATGAGTTCTCTTAAACTCCTGGATATATTTAGCTGTTCGTGGTTTAATTTAGTATACAAAGATTTGAGCTCGGATTTGAGCAACCAAACAGGACAATGAACTTGTTTTATTCGGTAGGCATGAGTAATATCTTGCAATACTTTTTGAAGCTGCTTTGTTCTTTCTATTAGTGGCATTAGTATCTAAACTAATACGTTGCAATTTAGTTTTGTGTATAGACTACAGACATACCAACGACATAACTTCTATTTAATTCCAGAAGCGAAGATGGGTAGGTACTTTATCTACTGAAAAAAGTATATGAAGTTCAGAATTGAGAACAATATTGTTTCCATGGAGTCCACGGGAGAACCTATAAGCTTGCAATTTTTGACGTCTAAATTAAATTCAGAATGTTCAGAAGTTTTATAATGATTTATATGGTTTCCCACTTATAATTGCACAAGATGTTTGTATTTTACCACGTTAACTTGGGTTATTTAGGTAATGAAAATCTGTTGCCTAGCAATTAGACGAGAAAAACTGTCTAACTAATACCATAATATAACACAAACTATGCTAATATAGTACCTAGGTTGACAGTTTTTCGAGAAATTGCTCAAAGGAAACAGATTTGAATTGCAACAACACAAATTTAATCGGTTTAAATACCAACCTCGATTGCAAGGCCAAACTTTTTATGATTATTTAGAATAGGGAAACCTCTACTGTAAAAGCAGCAGAGTGACTTTTACATACACTAAAGTGATTTTGGTTGACAACCCCTTTATATTCTGGTTCTTTGGATTTCTTACGATAATATACTTTGATTACTAATTGCACAGATTATAAAGATGTAGTTCAAAATCCTTTTACAAATCTGCTTTTTCTAACTAACCTGGGGCCTATAACACAAACTATACAATTGTAACAAGTCTGCAAGTTACAAGGTAATCTGCCTGTAACTAATACAAGTCCTACTGAATTCTGTATATGTATACCGTGGGTAAAATATATGCATAATGCGTTGTGTTATGAAAAAGTTACAAGTGTGAATATATTCTAACAGTTGTAGAGGACTTGTACGGATTGTGTTACAGGCACATGGTTGTGGATTCTAGGGGTAGGCAAAATGGTGGTGACGCGAAGCGGAGTGCCTTTAACGTTGCAAGTGCTTCAAATACCAATTATACACGTGTATCTTATAGTATTTTTTATTATACCTGCAGTATAATTTAAAAATAGGAAATACAATGAAATGACGTTATACTCGAATACATGTTTAATTAAGCGTTTGATTATATGATTTAAAGCCACATAGGTAATATCCAAAATTTGGTGAACGCAAGTAACTCTGTTTGCTGATTGAACTTCACTTACAAAACAAAACCCGTATTAATATTATTCACGAAAATCAAACGTCTGCCTGAATGTGCTGTTGCCGCGGAGTGAAGACGAAATGCGGTCAAGGTCTCTCATATAAAGCTGCGAGTCAAGATCGAATTTTACTCGCGACAATAAAATGAGTTTCGAGTCTGGCGCCAACTACGCGCTTGCAATTTAGCAATGGGCACTACGCAGTGCGGAATATTCTTCTTACGTAAACTGTAGTGAAGATTTAAACGGTCGACACCGATTTTTTATATTTATCCGGTATTGGATTATTTGTGCATCTTAAAGTAGTTTTTCTTGAGTTAACGTCACGTTCATGGCGTTTATACACCGATTTGTACGGACCATCCGTGCTCGAGTTAACAGTTTGCTTTTGCTACTGTAAAGTCATTATTATTGATTCATATTTCATATTGAGTATTAACTACGGTTGTAGTATAGGATTTACCTGATGAGTTCAGGAAATTATTGAGAGTCGTGTAGGTAGTGTGAGACTAATGTACCAGTACGCCAATGTTCGGCAATGTGTCAAAATGTGACAGTTGTGGCTAAATGACGGCTTTTTTAAAACTGAAAACGACAACTAAATATAAGTATTTGAGGCGCTTTCTTTCGGTGATCCAAACGCGTTTGAATTGTCAAATCACGTTCTTTCGAAGTGTGATCTTATGATCATGATTGCTAAAATCCTGAACAAAATGAACATAAAAGTTTTATGATCACGGATTCCTAACCTATAAATGCAATGATATTTTTGCACAAATGTTAGGTTAGTCGATATTTGTAACTGAAAAGGAGCATTATCGTGCAAGTATTTCCACTTGTACTTAAATTATTTTCATAATCCAAAAAAAAAAATACGTAATTCGAATTCAAATGTGTACTCTGTAAACTTAACCAAACTTTGATATAAATTCGCGCGTTCTTTCGTAAAACGCGATCCTACGAATCACGATCTTGTAATCATGATTGCGAAGTAGCCGAAAGAAAGCGCCTTTGATCACGAAATTACAAAAATCAGTATTTTAAGTCTTTGAAGATAAATCGCTGATAGTAAATCCTTGTTCTTCTATCTTTACATCATCATATTTCTTTGTCTATGAACGACATCTTTACAATTCTTTCGGCATCTTAAAAAGTATATAATAACTAATATAACATAACTAACCTGGTATTAGTGCAGTTGTAACAGGCCCTATAAAATCGCGCATTAATTATCCGCGCAGAGTAAAATTCACCACGCGAGAAACTTTTTTATTTTTGCTAGAGTTGTATCACATATGAGTATATCGAATGAATTGTGACCAAAGGACAGTGTCCATATTGTGAGATCATTTATTAAATTACCCTCGACTGTGACACCGATTCTTGTTTATGTTCTATCCCTGTCAATTGTCTTTAGCTTATCAAGACCAGAACAAGGGTATCCTAGTCTGCCTTGTTTCCCCTTATGTGAGTATTCTCCTTTCTCTTTTGAGAGTTAGTAGAGATTAAATGGAGACTATCCTTCATTTTTGCTAGTGTACAGAACCCCATCATTCACCCCGACCCATCTCTACTTTGCCTGAGCTCACTGGTGTGCTTATTTCGCGGTCGTTTTGTTACGTTTGCTCAAAGTCAACGTAACAAGCAAAACAAGATACGACGAGTCGCATACGATTTTCAGTAGAGGGATTTTTAACACCAAGCTCGCATTCGGAAACACGATTTCTAATCCGGCTCATATTCAATAGCACTGATCGTTGAACTTGTAGACATCCATTGGCGAAGGTTTGACATCGCTGTCTCTTTTCGTTCTCGAGTTAGACGGTAACAGATGGACAAACGGACGGACAAGATCCTCACATAATAGGATTTGTTTCATTCGAACAATTTCCCCAACAAACATATTGCCATTTTAGTAAAACGATTTAACAGTATATTATACAATGAGCATTTAATGATGGCTATTAATAAGACAAGAGTATGAGAACTACGAAACGAGCCTTGGCGAGTTTCGTAAGGAATATGAGTGCCTTATTAGCCATTAAATACGAGTTTCGTACACTTTTTTAAATTAGCAGCACACATTAGCACAAAATGAGCACAAAATTATTGGATCCATTTCAAGTCGACACTCCAACTTCACGGACCCTGTCTGTAAGTATATGAATAGAAAATTACTGATAATGATTCTCGAATTATTACGACAGCGTAATAACGGAGTGTTTTCCAAAAGATTTGTGTAAGGGACAGCGACCTAATTTTATCACAGCTCATTTTTTCTTGTCATTTCATTCCCCATCTGTCAGTATAGCAAATTGTTTTTTCCATTGACGCGAGTTCAAGATCCCCATTTTCGTAGGATTACTTAGACGCAGTAAAGATGTGTAATAATTCTCAATACAGTGACTGGTGCAAAAGTGTAAATTTATATTTAAAGTCATGAATCGTTACTGATAAAAGTAATAGAATGTGGTTATTGCCGATATCCTCTCGATTTACACTTGGGTTTTACCCAAACATGACGGTTTCCTGTTTACCACAACAAACGGAGGAGGTTCTCATACATAAATATGAAACAACGAGTTTTCCTCATATTCGTTCGTGAACTTAGACGTGCTCAAATCTGAATTAGGTACCTATATTTTTACGGTCGCACGATTTAAATAAAATGGTGAGTTGGGATTGTGAATTAATGTAATTTTATGTCTAATCATTTAATTCCAGATTGTAGTTATTGTGGCGACGCTAGTTTCCATAACAATGGCACAACGGCCGGGTTACATTGCGGAACCTACCTACCCCAAATTGGCTAGTAGATTTCGGAATGACAACGAAGAAACAACTGCTGCAATTTTGAACTCTCGTTTAGGGGAAGTAGATGGTACGACGGAAAAAATACCTGTTGATGCCCGTGGTGATGCAGATTTGGTTCATAGAATAAAGGAATGGCCTAGGCAAAACATCCCTTATTGGTATCTTAATGCTGAACACATTGAAAGACAAAGAAATCCTCAAGGTGTATCGCACCAAAACTCTCAAGTGCAACAAAACAGAATCCCTGCAGAAAATGTTCAAAGATTGATGGAACAACTACCAGTTAATTCTGCTTTTCGAGATTATTATCATGACTTGAGGCCAAGATTTGGTGTAAATGACGTTGTTCCAATATTTGTGCGTCCGATTCGACCCATCGAAACCAGACCTTTCTTTGCAGGCCCTCTGCCCTAGATATCACTAACTCATTCATCATATAAAACGCCTACAAGACTGTGAAACCCATTTTCATAAGATCCAAGTTTGAAGGTCACTGGCGACGTATTTGGAACTTCCGATTAAATTCGTGCTCATTGTTATCATTGAATAGGTTAGTTTTTGTATTATTGTAGCAGCTGAGTCATGAGATTTTATTTCTATTTTTATATGATATGACACTAATAAAACCTATGATGATACGTAGTTGATAAAAAACCTTAATATCACGAAGTGATTAAATAATCTTATTTTTCTAAGTAAATAAAGGAGCAAAGTTTTGTTATGCAAAGACGACCCTGACCTATACTCTACTCTGTGACATTGAAAATGCAACACCAACTAAGGAATCGCTCGTTGCAAATTAGTAAACGTAAATTGTTCCGTTTATGAGTAATAATTTTAAAAAGTTGGTAACCCCAGTGATTAGGTCTTAAATTGTTTTCAATGTTGATGTGGACGTTCAGGTGCAAGATTCGATTGAAGTATTGTCTTCTTGAGGTATGTTCCCAGGCAACCAAATTGCCTGTTGAACAGCATTTAATGTTAGTAAGGCTGAGTAGAGTAAATCCAGAAAAAAACCACTGTATTCTATGGCGTATTGGTGATAAGTCTGGAGATCGCAATGTGCAAGGCGATACCTAACTAAGTGTCAGAAAACTTGGCACCATGGTCTACGTCTAAAGAAACCTAACTTCGTTTCAGGCACCCATGTCCCCATCCCAGGATAATTTAGAACGCGTAACATCCTGTTGTAACAGGCTGCCTTTGCTTATATGCGAGTGTGTTGTGTGTCGCTTTGACTTAGATGAAGGGCAGTTCGTAACAATGCAAACGACTCGCTTAGTATTTTTATTCAGAATCACCTGAACCTCGATTCTGTGGTAGACTTTAGAAACCACGTAAGACCTCGAGTCTGTGCTTCGATGCAACCCTGATCGAGGTTAGAAGCAATTTGACCATAGTGTTTGTTGCCTGTTTGTTCAGATGATGAGTTATTCAAATTGGTTCTGACTAATGCGCATACATTCGAACAATATTTTTGAGCATAAAGTTTTCCGTGTTGGTATAAAATGCCATTTGACTATTCTGTAACGCTCGTACGCTTTCTAATTGTCTCTTCTATATGCCGCATTTATTGTAAAATCATTGTGAGGATTTTAAATGAAAGAGTTCATTTACAAATTGTGAATTAAGGAATACTTATACCTATAATAAATAACTCGATGATGTCTTTAATTTACCTTATCTTTGTGCTACTTCCAATAAAAGAACTGGCAGATGACGAACATTAAATTTAGAGTACTACAACTATCATCTAGAAGATCTCAGTCTAGGAGAAGGTGCGTGATATAATAAATCTGTGTATTTAATCCTCTCACAGTACAGTACGTACGCATGAAGGTAAGAATTTGTATCATCCTTGAAATACCTTTCTTATGTTTTATTACAAGCGGTACTAATTCTGGGTGTACCTGGAGGATGCAGAATTGATGAACGATATTGAATATTGAATACTGAATATTTACAATTATTATCAATCAATATTGTCCAAGGTCCAGTTGATTTAATTGAAATTTACAAAAATTTATGTCCGCATAGGTATGCCACACATGTTCCTTTGTTATAATAAACAGTGCACATACAACCTATTGACCTCTTCGACTTACGTCAACCAATGTATTAGCCAACATACATACATTTCAGTTTCTTATAGCGATATTTTTTATGTAAAAGTGCCTACTAGTTTCTGTCTTATATTGAAAAATTATAAATAAAACCCGTTTTTTTGGGATTAATATAAAAAAATAACATATTTCCGGGTCAAAATTTGGGAAGACATTTTTATCGTACTTTATAATGATATAAAGAAGAGATTGGCGAAAAATTCTTCCCTAGGAATTATTTCATTAATCGCACAATTTTCGATTGACTCTTGGACGACATCACTGTTGTTGTGAGCTATGCGTATTAGATCGCCACACCGCAAGCGTCTCACTCTACCGCGTACCAGTATACGCGCCGAAACGAGATGGCATGAAAATATTTAACTGCGTCTGCTATGAAGGTGCTACCGTCTTTTCAAATTTTCACTTCAGGTATCGATTAAGCACAACACATTTTAACACAACTTTTAAACCGGTACTCGATCACGCGATTCTGAGTGATTTTCGACGTCTCGGATTGCGTCTGCCTCAAAAATGCTACCAACTAACGCGTCTGCCAATTTGGTTTTGTTTACTAATGATGTTACCGCATGTTTTAACACATATTTCAACTTGGTACTAATAACGAGTTTGTGAGTCTATTTTTTCAAAATTCATTTTATAATAGGGCTTACGGGTGACCACTTACCAGCGGCAGACGAGCGGTTATTATTTTGCTATCTTATGCACTATCCATTTCAATACTTAAACCATTGGTACCTTATCATGCGGTTTTTTATTCCGTTTGTACCTATCCTTTGGTTGAAGCTTTCACAAACGCCCCTAATTTAGGGTATACTTCCAAATCTGTTCCACTTTTTAATCGCAGCATTGTTTGAAGTTTTGAATGAATGCACCAAAAGATAGAAGATTTAAATAACTTTGACATTTCCTTCATATATGCCAGCATTATCGATGCATTTAAGACTTTATTCGAAGTAACTTCCTATTCATCCATGGAAACAGCTTTTCATATCCTTTATAATAGGCTTTACTGGATTTGGATTTTACACCGACCAGTAGATTTGTTTAGATTTTACAACAACCTAGTTAATGGACGGTGTATTATCTTTTTCATCGGAAATCGTTTTATTCACAAAGAGGATGATTTTTATAAGCAAACGTCAAGTGACATTTCCATGGCAATCGTGAAATTACGTACACCCAGCCCACTTAATTAGACATGTATTCGAGTATAACGTCAATATGACTTCATTGTATTTCCTATTTTTAGATTATACTGCAGGTATAATAAAAAAATACTATAAGATACACGTGTATAATTGGTCTTTAAAGCACTTGCAATGTTAAAGGCACTCCGCTGCGCATCGTGCTCTTAAACTCGTTTCGCGTGCTTTAAAGACTTGATTATACACTTGTATCTTAATACGGTATACTATTTCGATTCGGCATTAGTTTTACTTTTGTTCGAGGTGTCTACATACAAAATTTCATTTAAGGCCAGAAGATGAATTCAATTTGTTAATTTGAAGTCATAATTGTCATAAATACAGGATGCGTAAACAATTTACTGTAGGTATTTTTTTAATATTGTATTTGATATCACAGTCTTCAGTTTTTTTCATTAGTTTTTGAAATCTGAGAGCAGGTCTTGTATTTTCCCAAGCATTACTTATATGTATAACAGTAAGGATTAGGTAATTGGCTAATGTGTCGGTCAAGTACCTAAAGCAGGCTTGCAATAAGTGGGTGTGCAATGAGTGCTCAATCTGGATTACCTTTGATGCGCTTTTCGAGTAAATGGAAAAGCAACTACTTCACATTGAAGTGATTCTTGATTGATATGCATGCGCGCATGATGCCAAATTAGGTTATGGTAGATAAATAAACATAATTGGAGAAAAACACGCTTGGAACTTCTCATTATTAACGTAATTGGGTCATTTTCGACTGTGAAAAGGAAGTTTATTTTGTTATCGTTGAGAATCCATCTTGCAAACATGGTTTTCCGTTTGAAGGTTTGATCAAAATTGTCAATAACGCTCTCAATCACTCATAAATATTCTACAAAGGCAGGTTATTAAAGCGGATATCCGCCTAAACTTATAACAGAGGACCGTTTTTTACTTTGAATTCAACTACTTAGTAACTAACAAAGCGTTTGTTTTGGGACTGTGTTTTGTGAATAATCCAATTTTGGACGTCAATCGAAGCAACGGATATAAGAAAACGTCAAAAAGCTTAAAGACCACTTTTTATAGAATAGGGTACTGAGCACGTTGTACGAGTTACTAGAAAACAGTGGTAATAAAAATGCGATCACTCCTCTATGAACACTATATAATGTGGCAATATTTTTATAGATGGTAATACGAATCATCTGCAGGAAGTCTATTATAGAATACAAATTGATTTTTAAATCTTGTAATCACAATTTAGACTAGACGTTTATTGTGGAATTAAATTCAATGTATGTATGTGTACAAAACAAATTGTATTTAAAATGATTTTGCATATCTTTCCTATTTCGCTTAAGAGTGCAAAGTATAGCCAAAAACATAGGCAAAGATGGGAAATAATTTGCTCATAGGAGCTTTTAATATAATTAATATGAGAAAATCCGTGAAAACACAAAACATATTTTCTACAATTCTACATACAAGTACAGTTGTGTAAAAGTACGTCTTTGTAACAAGTTAAACGTCAAAACCACAATCTCAGAGCATATGTCCAAACTTAGTATTCAACTGTGTTATTACCTCACTATTCGTAGCTAGCTAAAACTTTTAGGTAGGATCGCAATCTCGGAAACATCAACGCTTTTTTCGCACTTTATGGTTTTTAGAATCAAGAGTCGATAGATAATATCTTCGGTTTTGCTCTCCTTTGTTTCTGTAGGAATTGTGCACTGTTCTTATTTTACATG